AGTGCTAAGACTCATATTCCTGGTCACCTGGTCACTACCTATTTCAACAAAAGATTCCTTCAGAGTTCAGGTAGAAGAGAAGGAAATTGAGGGCAATAAAAAGGAAAGGAGGGAAACTAATAAAAGTGAAGGACCTATATCAAAATGCTGATTGTCAGTCCATGCAAGTGGCACTTTAAGGCTAGTGGGTCAAATCCAGTTAAATTATTCCACATTGTTGCATGTTTCAGAAGTAAATCCAAACATAATTTTAAGAATTTGTGGTCAGATAGCATAGACAGTTTTTGAATATGTTTCAGCACAAGGCACAGAGTGTAAAGTCCATGAAATCTTTGTATTGTCTACAGACATGCTAAAAGGAGTCCTTTACTTACACAGAAATGTGCTTGTAGTGTTAGACACCCACGGCTAATCTAAAAAGTACTTGTGAAAAAAAACTTCAGAAAATCTTGGAACTAGTGGAGTGTGGGATGGGAAGCCAGTAGCTACTCCCATTGTCACTGAGAGCCCCAAGTGGCACAAACACCTGTGGCTCTTTGGGAGAAAATTCACCATAGGGATCAGAACACAGAAATTGTTGTGACTCTCGTCCTGTTTTGTACACCCAGAGGCAGCCCAATATTTGTACAAATATGCACCAAGTGCAGCTAGGCAGGGAAACATGCAAAATGCAGCACACACAGGTTTTGAAAGTGCTAAATGAGCAGGGTGAAACACGGGCACTGTAGTCATGTGCTTTGCAAGACCTTCTGCAGTGCCAGAATACCGGAGTCAGCTCAGAAACCATGTCTTAAAAGGATCTGGTAAACCCGACAGCTGCCAGTGACAAATGATATCCTTTTAAGAGCAAATATCCTGCTTTGAGTCCCCAAGTAAAAGGCTAAGTGATCTGCTTTAGAGCATTTTCAGTAGAACAGGCTCTGGTAGAACAGGAGATTCTGAGCAAGTAGGGAGGGAATGTGAGGGAGTGAAAGGAGCACATATTTCTGTCAGACACAGAGATGTAAATAGTTTGTTACTGCATTCTTGAGATGCGTGATTAAGCCCATGTTAAAAACTGTGATTTGTAAACAGATGGCTTTACAACCCTGCTGCTGCTGCTGCTTGCAAATAAACATCACCAAGTACCAACATCAGCAGAAATAAGTTCTTCTGGTCTTTGTAATAAAAGACCTTCACTAGAATAACAGCAAATGGCCTGTTGGTATATTCAGTCTTCCTTACCCATACTGCTTGGAAATCTGATGCCACCCTTCAATTTGTTCATATTTTACAAGTTGACATGCAGCCTTTGACTCTAACTGGAAGAGATGTGCTTCACTACAGATCAAAGAAAAGCTGGTTTCAGAATGCTTATTTTAGATTTGCAACCACAGGCTCAACTAGAGCAAACAAGAGCAGGAGGAGTGGCTTTTAGCCAGACTTGTAGTAGGGATCTTCTCCAGAGCATTTGCATGAGCATTGAAATGAGGGGACATGTAGTACCACTACAATAAAGACAGCCAAATATTCACAGTGACCCAGAAGGTGGTCTTCGGAAAAAAACCCATGTATATTTGAGCACACTTCAGAAATTCAGAATTTGTTGGAGTTCATTTAAACATGGGTAACTAAGTCCCTGTCCAAAGCTGATCTGGCTTCTTAGGCTTGCAGAGAGATACTGTCATTCCCAAATTCAGGCTGACCTCTGGGATATCCCTCTTCCCTTTTTCATCAAACACAGTAAAATGCCACATTCGGATTTTATAATAATCCAGAAATGCACTCACTGACCTGAGTGCCCCAAATGCCCCTGAAGAGGGCTCACCTGTCACCAGTGGCCACGTCAGACCACACCAAGACCAGCTTTCCATCTCCTTCCCTGGGACACTAAAGACAGAGAACATGAAACCTCTCTAATGGTGCTGTACACTGAGACAAGGTCTTGACTCATTTTCCCAGGGAGATGTTCCTCCCACCCCACTTTACTCTCTACCACCACAGTTTCAGGCCACAGCCTGGGGTCACGGCGTTGCTCCAATCTCAGTGAACAGCCTTTAGAAACAAAGTGGCTCCAGTGCCAACACCAACACAGACTTATTTCATCAGTCTGTATAAACTGTCTGACGCTACTTAAAGCTCGTTTTGGCAGACATATGGAAAACAGACAAGCTGGCATGGGGAAGTAATTTAAAAACACTCCTTCTCTGCTCTGCTTCTTTCACCCAGAAATCCTGCCCCAGGGAAGCCCTGCATCGCTCCCCTGACCCCATGCAGCAAAGCCAAGGGGTCCTCAGGACACTGGGATGAAGGCCAGGAGGGGCTTTGAGCTCATGTGGCCCGAGGCGAGGACAGTGCCTCCCCCATGCCAGCCAGGAGCCCCCTGTGAGGAGCTGTGGGCTGCACATCCCGCACCGAGGGGGAATCGGGCTGCTCAGCAGGTAACGCTCACTAGCAAGAGCACCAAAATGAAAAGCAAACTCTTCTCTTCATCCTTATTGCAAAGGTGAGAAAACAGAGATAAAAAAATCAGCTCTCCCAGATAAACTCCCAGCCTTAATCACGGATTTTCATCAAACATGGTATTTCCCTTCACTTCATGCTTTTAAAAGGAGCTCTGGGAATGTGGTTTTTAAGTCTTGTAGATATGGTGACACAATACAACACTGCAAATGGAAAGGGCACTTCTTCCATTGTTCTATGGATGATTAAAATAGAAGATCCAAGGTACTACTTAATGTAATACTAATCTCCCACACAAAGACTGTCTCTCTTCCCCCAGAGAGAATTACAGGCTTTGTTACTAAAATAGTGAATCAATTTGCAGACACCAGAGTCATTGATAACTTTGCAATCTTCTAACTCTGTTAGGTTATTTAATATGTATATATAGACTCCCAGTTACTAGGCAGCATTTATATGTGAATCCATATTTCTTGCAAGTATTTGCTATTTTATATTAGGAATATAATTTTTAAGTCATCCTCTGGGATTCTGATGCCATTGAAAAATTCCTTATTATTTTGGGTAAGCTGTGCTCTGAAGAAAAAGGATATTTTGCAATGTTTTGGCATACATTACAAGCAAGAGAAATTAAGAGTTTTGAAAGACAAATAAAAATGAAAATACAATTATTTTTCAATTACAGCACATTGTGTTTTTACTATGATTGGTACTAGATTTAAGGGTCAACACAAGAACTTGCAATAAAATACATAAATTAGAATTAGATATGGTTTGAGCCTGATACAGCAACTTCCTTTGAGTCCTTACAGGTGAGTCTTCAGCAAAGTGATTCCAATGGATGGGCATCATACTAACAGTGAAGCTGTAGGACTTTGTTGATCACTATGTCACCATCAGCTTCAATTACAATATTTTGTCCTGGTCAGGTGGATCAAAATCTGAATGATGCTAGTAACCAAAGTTTGTGTAAGAGTATACTTTTTTTTTTTTTTAAATCCAACAGGATCAGAAAGCTCTTTTTCCCTGAGCTGCATAGTCATTTATTTGTGAGAGACGGATATACTTGGAACAGCTCCTGATACAGTGGTATGTCTAATATCCTGTGACATCCCATCCTTAAGGAGAAGGGAGCTCCTGAGATTCATAGATGCTCATGTGAAAAAAAAAAAAAACCACAAAAAAGTCAGAGGATCTGCAAAAACGTACAGAGTTTTATTATTAAATCACACACTTGCCATGGAAACTATTATAAGTTAGTTCTTTATCTTCTAGTATAAGCACACAACCAGCTACGGGCATTTGAGACATGCACACCAGCCCATTATCTTCTGGGCTTCTGCAGTATCAAAGGAGGAACTAAACACAAGGAGAAAGTTAAAATACCCTTTCAGTTTCATTTCAATGAACCCGGTGTCTATTGAACAATTTCTTTAAAAACAAAAACAAACCAAAGCTTTTGGAAACCATTGAAGTCATCATCTGTTACATCTCTCTGGATTCTGACCACAAGAACATGACAGATTTATTTTCTTTGCATCTTGTTTAATTAACATGCCTTTGGAGGAGCAGTGGCAGTGGCAGCAGGGACCACCCCTGACACTCACTGAATTCCAGTAAGCATCTTCTGTCCTCCTGTAGACAGGCTTTATATGACAAGTGATTCTTTATGGCTGACTAATATGCCTTGGGTCATGTTTATGGTTAGCACAGATACTCATAGTGTAGATATGACTAACTACAACATGTGCCACTTGTAATTTTCTAATGAAAATCTCATACTTTCAAAGAAAGGGAAAAAAAAGAAACAAGCAACAGCTTCATAAAGGAACAACTTTCAGAATGTTCTACTTAGGCAATACCTAATTTCAAGCATACCAGCATTTTATTTTCATTTGGACAGAGGATTATTACTTTTTGAGACAGGAATGTTTTGTGTTATAGAAATGCTATAAATCAAATTCAGTAAGTTTCCAATAGTAAGACACTCAAGAAATCCTGGCTATTTAAGTGCAACACAACCCTATTTGCAACACAACCCTATTTGCAATGAACTGAAAAATTGAAATGACAGAGTCAGTGCCAAGGTCTCAGCTTTTTCCTTGTTATCCATATTGTACAGTAATAGGTGAGGTGGACAACAGAAAACGTCACTGTTTGAATCAGGAGCTCTCAGCACTGTGGCTTTCATCCGTAGGTCACCTACCTGCTCTCAGGTTTAAAACTGTCAGTAATTATTTTAAGTTTCCATGAAGGAAAAGGAGCAAATTGGGCACATTGCCAGAAAAGCAAAGGCTGGTGGGAGCTCAGCTCTTCAAGAAATACAGAAAGCATTGCGATGGTTGTCTGAATTCTCTCTCCCATCCTGGCACCACCGCTCACTCCTGGGAAGGAGCTCTTCAGACAGAAGGAAGAAGCCATCTTACTAGAAATCTGGAAACTGAGAGATTGCCGTTGATAAATACACAGTACTCAGGCTTTTCTTCATCCACTCACTTTGTGTTCTTCTTTTTCCGGAATGTTGATAAATACACTCATTGTTGAGTTGATAAATAAGTTGATAAATAAGTACTCAGGCTTTTCTTCATCCACTCACTTTGTGTTGTTCTTTTTCCGGAAAATATTTTTTTATTTATGCTTTATTTGCAAATGATTTATTTAATTTGAACTATAAAGGAAAGGTTTAATAGGAGCAGTAGGAATTTGAGAATATTGACTCTCGTTCAAGAGGGGAATGAATCCAATCTGTGCTTTATGACTGAAGACAAAATGTAAAGGTTAATTTTTACATCTTTATTTTAAAGTAAAATCTCTTTTTAATTAATGATAAAAAATTAACCTTGAGTCTAATGCTTTTCTTTCCATGAGGACTTGTATTTTCTCAAATAGCTACAAAGAAAGGACACTATCCAATACATTTCCTTCAATAAACACTGATTGTAATTTTTCATTGGGTTACGTGCATTGAAAATACCTTTATCCACAGCAATTTTTAAGTATTAAAAAATAAATAAAGTATAGAACAAGAGGACAAGACTGGTTCTATGTAAATAACTCATTGTCTGCTTATAAAAAAGCTTTCTAAAAAGCCATGAGATGCAGGGAGAAAATAAAGGCAACACAAAAAATCAGAAAAATGTCCTTATCCACTAAGAGGAAAGCCAATGACACTAGTTTGTCACATATCAAAGACAAAATGCAAAAAGAAGAAAGTGACTGGAAATTAAAGAAAAAGCCATTCACAAGTGCCACTTGACCACTATCAGCAGCTGTACTCAAGCTTTTTGAAGGACATAAGCTCTAATGGGCCACCAGCAGAAACCAATGTAAGGACTTTCAGTCTGTAAGAGAGACTCATGTACATGGAAAACAGTAAAAAGTGTATTCTATTCTGTAGTAACATGTCTGGTAAAAAAATATTCTTTCATGCATTATCTCATCCACTCACCACTACCTTCTGTGGGAACCACATGACAAAAAGTACAGAAAAAAGCAAGAATGTTATAAGGTGAACAGATTTCCATATTCATTTCAGTTCTAAAAAAACTACATTTAATGTACTCTTAGTACAAGAAATTAAGAAAATATGACAGAAATTGTTTCTTCCCTTGTTTCTAAATCTTAGGACTTGTGAAGCCTGAATCAGAAGACTGAAGTGCAGGTCTGCATTTGTGCCTTTCAAAACATTTTCCACGGGTGAATTAGGGACACAATTTATATTAGAGCAAATAAGAGCCAAAACATAAAAGAACAACCTTGGCCTGTGGGTTGCTGAAGAGCCATCCATTCCCAGGCTGAGCAAATGCTGATGCTGCAACATCTCAGAGGAGGAGGCCAGGCTGGGCTAACAACTGACGTGCAATTTTATGGCTGTCTTTAGCGCTCCTTGAAGGTGGCACAACACAGTCTGCTGAGCTCAGAGCTTTGTTACATTATCTCAGGACAAGGCAAAGGGGCTGCCAGCTCACCCCAGCTGAAAAAGATCAATCATCTGAAGAGGCCCTACTAGGAAAACCAAGACAAGCAGAACTCCCACACTGCAAATTTTGCTTCTGACAGCCAGGGTAGGATGATCACACACCCCTTTTGCCAGGCCAGTCTTTTTGATGCCATCCCAATGAAACGGATGATAAGTACAGCCTACATTTACATCAATTGAAATCCTTGCCCAAATGAACACTGAGTTTTGTATTTCACCAGCAGGAATGAGATAAAGAAACAGTCTCAGCATGCCAGGATGGCTGGGACAAAGCCAGCTACAACTGTGGACAGTCTATAACACATGCTTACATGGAGAAGAGAGGTTGGCACAAAAGGAAGAACAGCCAAGCAAAAAGAGATAGTCTATGGTGGAAGGAACGGGATCACTCACCCTAGGAAGGGATTAAAGTGGAGGCTTAGGGTCTTTACTGTGGAATTTATTCCCAGCCTAAGCTTCCTGCAAGTGCACACAGCATTACTTCACAGAATTCACAGAATCTCTGGGTTGGAAGAGACCGTAAAGATCATTGAGTCCAACCCATACCCCAACACCTCAACTAAACCATGGCATTGAATTCCATATCCAGTCTTTTTTTTTTCAGTTTTATCTTTTTTCTCCATGCAACTTACCAGGAATACCCTACAGTTTTTCCTTTTATTTGTTATCAAAATACAGAAGTCCTAGTGAAGGTTCAAAGGAAAATATCAGATTAAAAAAGGTATTTAGAATGATAAAAATGCAGATGAGCACATGAACAAGTAGATCCACCTTTTCAGATTTGGTGCACAGCTGTTTTCTACCTTATATGAGCCAACAACAGAAAATCTGTGAAAAGAAATCTTTCCAGCTTTGCATTTCCTTGTATTGTTCCATTGTTGTAAATATCAAACAGTAGTCTTAAAAAAAAAAAAAGAAAAAAAGAAAAAAAAATAAAAAGAAAATAAAGTAGTCACTTTGCCCTGAGTTTTATTTTATTTTTACCATTATACATTCTAGTGAATATACAAATCCAAAATTCTGTAAGGTCTTTATGCATGTTCTTTCAGGCTGTAGATTGAGCACACGCAGCTGAAGAGTTCCAGAAGGCATTATTATTTCTTTAGTGTGTAGTTCCTGTTGATTTATATCCTCTAGTGTTCTCAGAGAAAGCAGTATTGAAATGAAAATAGATCCATCTCATGAAGTTGTACTTACTACAATTTCAATTAAATTAGTGTGTAGGTAATGGAAAAGAGAGTTGGATTGTAATTACCTTCTTGAACTCTGCCTTGGAAGTGTATGTTCAAAGGACCAAACAAATTGTCAATATCTATACACTTGCAGAGTAACATGAAAGATTAAATCTGATACCAAATTATCCCATCTACTTTATGCTAGATTTAATGAAAAAAAAAAGTATTGAATATATTCTGTCAATACACACTGTTGTTTGCATTTTGACTGCAGGGTATAGATCCATTTGGTCGAAGTATTGCTCGTGCTAATGCATAAACACTCTAATGTAATAAAACAGACCTCCAAACCAATTTCTCATCCAAGAGGCAATAAAGCCACTTCGAGGGAAGAGGATCTTGCATTGCGAAAGAAAACACAAAAAGGGCTGAAGAACATTCATCATGAGATCCATCACAGCAAAACCCCTGGAGGAGACTAGAATCGGATTTTGACAGGCTAGTTTTTGCCAAGTAACTGCAGACTCTCAGTTAGTTAGACATTAGGATTGACTTGAAAGGCTTTTTTTACTTGCTTATTCTCTGACAAACTGATGGGCAAGAAAGTTCCAGAGCATCATGTACTCTATTGTGTGTGACTTAAATAACAAGGTAGAATCTTTGCAGGTGATATCTTTGATTCAGATTCAGTCACAAATGTCTTACTTTAACTGATCTTTGCTGTAATTGCATGTTAAGGTTTATAGAAGACTTAATTGCTAGTAGGATGGACAATTGTTTTCCAGAATGACACTTTATTCACAAAGTTTTAATTATAATGCCAGGATTTGAAAGCGCAAGAGGAATGAGCCCACCAATTGATGGTAGTGGTGAGCTTTTAATTCAAAATCAAAGGCTTCCTGCAAAATTAGCTGATCTGATAGCTGTTTAAAACAATGCCTAAAGTCCTCTAACCCTCAGGCAGAGTGATTCCATGTATTAGAGAGTACATAGAGTCCCACCAGGCCAAATGAAATTTGGTTTATTCAGTATAAGAAAAGCAGGCTTCCTTACAGAATTCTCATAATCTGAATACATTTATTTGTAATTCTACAGAAAAGAAAATTCCTGTGTTTGAACCCCACAAAGAAACTGTGTCTCAAGACAAACACAGCCAACCTCTCAATACAACAGCAAGCTACTTGAATTAGCCCTGGCTTTAGAGGTCAAGACAGTAACCAATCAATTCAATTTGCCTCCACAAGCATTTAACTTCAAGGAGCTCTACAGGAAACAGCCAAATCATAAACTGCTCAGCCAAACTGAAACTTCACATGCCCTCACTACTATTAACATAGTAATAATCAAGGAGAAGCAAGCAAAATGTTGTGTATATCTCCAGCCACTTCACTAATAAAGATGAAAGCAGTTGTTGTGGGAATTGCTAATATGTTTATTTTGGACTGATTTTTCCATTAGCTTGACTTTAGAAGTCAAAAAATCGATGCTTCACATACAAGGTAGCCAGCATGCTCCTCACAGTAAGAGTATTCATGCATTCAAGGTGCCACAGACTTTGTTTCAGATAAATAGAGCAGGGGGCACAGGTCTAGGTAGATGATACTTCTTCCTTATAGAAAAAGTTTTGTGAAATCTTCAATTATATTCATCATTACCTCTTTATGTGCTGAAAATAAAGCTAGGGAAAACCAATCTGGGATGCCACATCCTCGTATCTCTGTAGGTCAGTAGGTTAAGAAGCTGTTGTGCTGTGAGCTGCACACAACACATTAATTGTATGTATCTGCACAAGTGGAGGAGGAAAATGGGGAGAATTGTCTTTGCACAGATGTAGCAAGAGGACCACAACTAGAGAGAAAAGGTTCCTAAGAGTAGAAGTAATTAATCTCTGCAAAAGCTTGTCTAATGAAACAGCAAATTCATCACTAATTGACTGCTTTAAATAGAGTGTGTTTTCAAAAGATGAGCTCCGTTTCAGCTTCAAAATATTAAACTTCACAGGATTCACTTACATAATGTGGAAAGTAACTTCCTCCTTGGTAGGAGTTCTTAGATAAAGTTTTGTGGCCCCCTGTCAGGCAAACAGCCAGCCAAGGCCATTGTAATGCTACACCCCTCTTCCACCCTCACAGAATTTAAGCAATATATATTTTATAAGCAGTATAGTAGGGAGAAGTGAAATTACTAGTATTTATCTTGAAGGCAAACTTAAAGCTTCTCTCAGACAACAGCTGTTTCCAGAATCTCAAATATATTTTCTTAATTCTTAAGAAAACTGCCAGATACCCAATTTATTTTTTGTTTTAAGCAAACTATTCTTCCTTGTTTCAGAAAAGAGGGCCTAAAATTCCATTCTAGTAATAATAAAGAGAACAAAACTCATTGTTATTGAAGCAAAGGTGCACTGATATAGTTTTAGCAAGGATACATGCAACTCTTTACTATAAACAGCAAATAAATTAATTTTTCTTTGACGTGTTTCTGTTTCTTTCTCCAGGGGCTGGACCTGAAGAGAGAAGGTAATTCCACAAGGCTTCTTGAGATTTTAAAGCAAGTTAGCAACACATTGGATTGGGCCGAAATTTTTCAAATTTAGCTAGCAGAGTGGCTGCCAGGAAAATCAGCTCAAACACTGGTCATTCTGGCCTGAAGCCTTGGATACAAGGCTTCCCCACTCAGGAGTGCCCTACCTAGCACTAGCAAGCAGCTCACACCAGAAGGTGGCTTCAATGAGATGCGTGGCAGATGAATTCTCACCTTCACAACTGCCTCTAAGATAAAATAATGCTATTGGCAATGAGTATGTAGTGCTGTAGCAGCTCGGGAATGCACAGAGCAGCTAGTAAGGAAGGAATCCCACATGCAGCCTCTCTGCCCTTCACCAGGACTAGGGTTATACTGTGCTTCCTCCCACACACCAACAATGTGCTGGCATTTGATCAGCACCGACCCCGAGGGTGAAGTGCTACTCTGGAAGTGGTGATGTTCCCAACTGTGTTTCCTTTGTTCTTTTGAAACTTGTCATTTAAATTTCAGTTCAGCCAGGCAATGCTCTGAGATTTGATGGGAACACAGGAAAATGCAGCATGATTTACATGTACTAAACTTGCAGGTCTGAAGTATTGCCCTAAAATTAGACTCCTGCCAGTGATAATCACCATTCCTTTTTCACTATATTTTTGCAAGATTATTTCTATGACAATACTTTTAGGAGGGTTGATATGAAAACATCAAAATGTAATTTCGTTACAGAAGATGACAATGTAGCTAAGGACATGAACTCTTGCAATTAGATTTTTGAAAAGGCATACACTGCTGTTATTAATAGGAGCTCAAGCCAATTTGAATTAAATGCATGGGATATTAATTTACATGTGCTCTATATCCTAAAATCAGGATATAGAGCACATGGGAAACATTGCTTTAAAAACATTTACTTTTTAGAGACACATCAGTTTTGTATTATAAACCTATCAGCAATGGAGAGAGAGATGGGAACACTGAGTGGGTGGTGGTCAGAATCCCATTTTACTGTGGACTACATATACTTATATACTAGTCTAGGAAGGCTAGCAATTTTTTACTACAATGATTGGCTTAGTCATCACATAAACAAACTTATACATTTTGCAACATCTCTTGCTTGTAGAAGTTGATTCAATCTTCTTGCCTGACACCAGTCTGATCCAATCCTTCCATAATCTTCAAAGTTCTGTTTGTTCTTGCCAAGGCATCCAGATTATCAAATCTCTTACGTTAATCACGTACAAAGTACATCATAAACCCACTAAAATATCTGGGCAAATGACAACGTGAAAATCAGCCAGCCAATGCTTTCTTGAGATTCAATGGTAATCAAATGGGAATCACAGGAAAATGCATGAAAATGTGATTTATGTATATTAAACTTATAGTCTGAAGTGGGTGTCTGAAAGTGGTCTCTGAACCAAGGTAATAGTGAGGTCAGGGTTGGTTTCTTCTCCTATGTAACAAGTGAGAGAACCAGATGAAGTTAAGTTTAGATTGGATATTAGAAAAAAATTATTAATGGAAAAGGCAATCAGGCTTTGAAACAGGCTGTCCAGGGAAGTGGTGGAATCACCATCCCTCCAAGAGTTCAAAAGGTCATGAATGTGGCAGGTGGGGATATGGTTTAGTGGTGAAAAAGAGGTAGTGGGTTGACAGCTGGACTCAATGGTCTTATGAGTCTTGTCCAACCTTAATGATTCTATGATTCCATAAAAATGAAAGCAACTTGAACCACAGCTGTGGTTCAAGTAAGCTCCCATTTCCTGAACACAGCAAGAACAGTTTTTTATTTACAGATGCACACTGAAATGCTACATCTTCCAACAAACCAGTTCCCTGCCAGATTTCAGCAGGATCAATCTCCCAGAGATCCAGCCAGCTCTAGCAACAATCAGATTCTCCTTGCAGCTGGAGAAGACATTCCCACTCATGTATGGCATACATATCACCACATACTTCAGCCAGCCCCAGCGCTCTGTTAAATTCAGTGGTGCCCTCTAAGCCCCAGAAGCATCCACTCACTCCTGCTCTGGCAGCCCTGCACACTCCCAGCTACGGCAGCACTCCCAAGAAAATGATCTGCAGAAATTTTTCCTCTTGCTTCCTGCTCCTCATATCCCAGCTACCCGTGAAGCTGAAGGAACAGCGTGAGGTCCTGAGCATATTCTGAGATCAAGCAGAAAAACTGGCAAATTAAGGGCATTTTAGCTACACATGGCTAGGTAGATTAGCATTTCTGTCTCATACAGATCCTTTTTGTTTGCAAAAGGATGTTTGTTAGCAAAACCAATTATGTGCATCTATCTAAAGCATACTTTTGAGAAGGATGTTTTTCTATAAAACATGCCTCAGGTGACAGAAAAATGTCACTGAATTGAAGATAAAATGCATGTCTTATCTAACAAGGGACAAGCAAGGAGTGCAAAGTTTTTCAGGGCAAAAAAATTAGGATGCTGAATATAGATGAAGTTTAAGATAATTAGAAGCATTTTCATGGACTGGACTTTACAATTTTTCATTATAGGAAAACTAGATAATGTATTTAAAAGATGGTATATCAACTACTATAGGGCCAACAGACACTTGAGCATTTATAGTTTGTAGGTGCATCACTCAAAAAAGAGTGTATATTTCAGAAAATCACCACAGGTCAGCAAAAGCATAATTATTCTGCTTTTCTCAATTTGTCCTTCAGGGCTTTTTTCTCCTTAGACAGAAACAAATAGAAGGAATATGCAAAGAAAGTAAGAATACTGTGAAATTTAATAATAAAACACCCAAAGGAAATCTGCTAATCTGCTAGAAACAACATCTTTACAACAGCAGGTTTTCAAGTTTCATTTTGTTCTCACAGAGCAGACATGAAAATTTCACAAACAGAAAAAAAATGCAGGAAAGACACTTTAAAGACGAACAAAACTTGTTCGAGTAAAACTTAACATACTGTATGTATTTAAAATTAACAAGGGCATTATGGCTAAATCAGTTAGCCATGAGAGAACTTGAAGTTTTCTAACTATCAGTGTTGCTGGAACATAATGATTTCAAGCAGCACTGCACGCAGCACTTGGTCACCTCAACAAGACAGCACAGGACTGCCACCTTGTGAACAACAAAAAACACCAGAACTGCATTAGCAGGACAAAATTCAGCTGCCCCCAGACACTATACAATACTTTTTCCTTACTTTCTAATAGAAGTCATCCATCTTATTTATCAACCCTCTAGAAAATTAACAGAAGAAAATATTTCAGCATTGCTTATGGTACAAAATTCTTGCTAATTTTGAACATAAATATGTGTGGTTAAGGAAGTTATAAGGAATGAAATATAGAATGCTCACAAACTGCAGGAAATGCAATTCACAGCATAAAGCATTATCAAACTTCCTATCTTGCTGAATAAGAACATATTTTTAACTAAAAGGGGGGGAAAAAAGGTTCAATTGTTTGTGACTGTTCAGCTATCTTTATTATTCCAAGTTACTGAAAAATCATCTTATTTCTAAGAAAAATTAAAACTGAGCCTTTTTTCAAAGCAGCCATTATAGAAATGTCAGCTATGCTATTTTTTGTTTTACCTTGAATACTTCAAGGAATTAGTATGATTTTATTCTAAATTGATAACTAATAAAATTTACAAGAAATTAACATTTTAAAGCTGTTCTAAGAAATTTCACTGACACATGCTGAGAATTAACTTAAAGTAAGCAATTATAGTTCTATTGACTGTAGAAGACCTTGGCAACATTAAGCAGAATAAATACAGCCCTTTTTGCATGTCTTTAAGGAAAACAACTAACAAATTTAAAACAACTACAATGGAAATATTTCAGGGGCAAAATACTATGTATTTCAATGGATTTCAACAGTGTTACTGCTATTTGTTAAAACAGGAAATAATAATGGAATTTGGAGACCATTCTTTATGACCAGTTCTGATACAATATAATGCCTCTGTGATTTCTGGGCTGACTTGGCTAACACTGAATATTACCTGCAAACACCCTCAGCCTCATAGGCAAAAGTGAAATTGTAGCTTTATTCTACAAATACATTCTCCTTTCATACTTTAGTAATTCATCAACTTCCCTCTTTATTTAAACTTTTATCAACTCAACCTGCTTTCAAATGAGCAAAATATATTAAACATTGTTTTCAACTGAAACCTGTAAATATAGTGACAAATTCCATTATAAAATATTATGCCATTTCATAGTACTGATTAAACAGCCCCAACAGGTCACAAACATCTATGTGTAACATTTCTAGTGTCTCCTGGGTGGAGCTCATTAGAAAGGTATTGTGCTCTAAATTTTGGTGGACATTTTGCATTCACTTTTCACAACAACGAAAAAAAGCTGTAAAATTGTTTTTAAAATTGTACATATTTAAGTTGGTTCTTTTCACTTGAAACACAGCTGCTACTTCTGTTAAAAATAGGAAGCATGAACAGTCTCTCAACAAAGTTGATCATGAATTTGAACCAGTAAAAAGACATGTTGGATAAAACACCTGTTGACTACACAATGATCTTTGCAAAGGAATTTTTTTTCTCAAGGGAATTAACACCTGCTCCCCTACATAAAACCAGAAAAAAAGCTTGGATCTAAGATACAGCTTGGAACACTAGACAGAGCACCATGCCTTTCTATGTTACCATTCCAACTCAGTATTTCAGGGCACAAATGAAATTGTACTTAAGCAGGTAAATGCTCTTTATCTTTTTATTGGCATGGCATACAAAAACAAAACTGGAAGCAGAAGGCACACAAGACTTCCCCTCCCATATCTGTGATACTGCAATCACAACACATCATCCTGGACTCTGCCAGAAGCACACTGGATTCTTCAAAAGCAATCCATTTCAGGTTTCTTTTGTCCCTTCAATGTGAAGCAGCAAATAGGGACTGATTGAAAATGGCTTTCCCTGTGGTACACACTGACAACAAATTACCAGGCTGGCAAAAGGCCAAGAAGCAAAAAGCAACCTGGCAAATATCCTCAATTCAATACAAACACACCCACGCACTGAGAGTGGCTGGAGGTTTCCTTAGGAGAAACAGGGCTGCAGAGGCATTGATCAGAATCTGAGCTCACCACACCCATCACAAGGCTAGAGCAGGGAAGGAATTGGAGCCAGGACAGGGATCTTCATGGTGTAAAAGAAAACAGTAACAGTACTGACCTGAGTGTGTAACGCTCCAGAACTGACCTCTTGATAAACTGTTCCAATTCCAAGTGACTTGAGTGGCAATAATATTATGCTTGCACAGATTTGGCTGAAGTATCATTATCATTACAATAATGAATTTAAAGAAGCTACACAGTGCCTGAAGTTTTGGAGATCACTCTCCCCTGCCACATACTGTAGCAATCAAATATTTTTGAGACTTAATATAAGTTATTTACTTACAGGAACTATTAAAGCCTTCATTTACTCTGATGATAGTGCACACCAGATGCTTTTAAATACATATACATACATACATGTGTACATACATTGCATTTCACCCTTGTCAAACAATATACACTCAAGTTCCATTAAACATGAAAAATACTTAAAAGAAGAGTTCAATAATGCCATTAGTACTTCTTGAAGATTACACATCAAAGATCTTTAAAACACTCAGTGCAACTCAGAAGTGCACTCAGAGTCGATTTCAGCACAAACCTGAGAGCACAGAACCACAGGACATAAAAGCTCAATTATTTAAGAGTGCTGCAATCCACTGCACGTTGCAGTCTGACATCTGTAAACTGCTCCCTTCCTAAGGGGTCACATTACCAACTGCCATTTATGCTTTATTGTACAGTAACACTTACTCCTCCAAAGAAGGTGCACACACATAGCATCCACTGTGTTTTCTGAATATCAGTTTGAAATAAAATGTTCAAAATTCTCTAGGGGTTTAAGAGCCCATTCTGCTTACAAAACTAATGTAAGCCTTTACTGACAAAAAAGTAATGAAAATTCAGTGAGACGTAGGAGGCTTTGAAAACACTGTACTTTAATAGTGGTTAGATACTTTGACCACTAGTAAATCTAGAAGGAAATGGCCTGATTTAAGGAACAAATATGCAGACAGATAAATAAACAAAAAGCTTGAACAGACTGAAATCCTTCTTTTGTAAAAGAGAAACCTCTGAAAAATACTTATAAACTATTTTAAGTTTATAAAGGCATGTTATATTTTAGTATCATGAAAAATGAAAGTAAACATCTCCCTGATTTTACATTAATTACAGAAAGTTATTCTCACATTTCCCCTCATACTGAATTTTAAAATTTTCATAAATTCAATATATGGAGTATCTTCACATTATAACAGATCTTGCATTTGGTTGCAACAATATAAGCAAAGAGCTTACTTCCCAGTTCCAGCTAGGGAAAATAGTGTTTACATGATGCAAAACATACTGTTTCCTTCCAGAGTCCAGTCCTGAAACAGAACTGTGTTTTCCTACAGGTATAAAAGTATCAAAAAAAGGTCACCACATAAACCTCTGTACTTCATCACTATTTTCCCATTGGAATGTTCTATTTAGAAAAAGATAAAGAGTTACAGCATTTACTAAGATATAAAAAGCCAGCTCCAGAAGTTGTCTATATAGAGATAGAAATGGAATATTGAGCCTATATATTAAGAATGGCAAAATAAAGTAACGAAATTCTAGCAATTTTTGAGGAACTGTGACTGCTAATAAACATACAAAATACATTAAGATCCAGAATATCGATTTTGATTTTAGTGTATCAGCAAAACTCCAGCCAGCAAATATATAGAATGGAACTAACAGGTATTTTACAAGCTCATGTCTTTGGAACACTTTTCTCCAGACATAAAATGTATAATGTCTGTTGTCTGCTAGTAAATACTTATGGACATAGGTAAATCTCCAGATCAGGAATAAGGAGATGACAGTCACTAAGCTATACTGCACAGGGTGCTTTCGCAAAGACAAAAGGAATTTCCTGATTTTAGTAGGGGTCAGTAAATGAGGAAATGAAAAAAAAACAGTAAAGGACAGGAAATAGAACAGCTGAGGAAAGTGCAAACAGGCTTCATGGCTACTTCTATCACCAACAACTATTCCACCATTGATGAAGACAAAAACAAAGAAGAGAGATACTAATATGATGTATGGCCAAGTTAAAGCAATAAGTGTAACTAAATTTTTGGGTGACAAGAGATATTCAACAAGGAACTGCAGTATTCTGGTCAAATCTGAAAATGATCCTTTCCTGGAAGAAATCTTTTCATCTTTCTTTTTCTGCAACTCAATCTTCCAGGCTTCATTTAGCTTCTCTGCAACAACATTTCCAGCACAAAAAACTGTCCACACAATATTTGTCTGACGAAACATGAAGCCACAAAATCCAAGGAGAGCAGAAGTTTTATGGTTACCATAAAGGCACATTAAATAGGAAAAAAGAGTAAAAAATACTGATCCTGGATCCGTATAATAAAGAAATGTAAAAAAATAAAGGGTGGGAAACACTGCAAGAGTTAATGCAGACAAGATTCTCTGGAAACCAGACACAGCCTAAAGAAGAAGCAGAAAAATGTGGTTAGACAATGTCCAATAAAATTAAATAGTATATTAAAAGAAAACTAGTATAAGTCTTGAGAATTCCATTAACACAATATAACAGCTCCTATGTTCTTTGCTTCCATTATTCCACAAATGCTGTGTTTTTCTTAAGATCCTGCTATGTTAATACAGTTACACAATGTTAAAATCCAAGTGAAAAGCACAGAATGTTACTGCAGGTGATTTTAAAAGATGGAAATGAAAATATACCAACTTCTTTCACATGAAAGGTGTGCACATATCTGTGGTATTAAAATCATGGTGGGCATAACTTTGCCCATACTTTGGATAAAAAGGCTGCATTAATGGGCAGAAGAAGATAAAATCAATGGTCTACTCCTTTGCAACCTCATAATGAGATTCTGTTTATCTGTGTGACAGCACCATTCAGTGCCACTATTATCAACTCTTTTGAACCCAGTCCACAGAGAGGCCAACTCCAAGTTTCCCATCTTTGATATAGCTGTTATTATTTATCCTCATATAATTAATGAGTTGGAAAATAAATTTTAAAAAAGACAGGAGACCATGCAGTTAAAAAATCTTCCCAATTATTCCACTCACTACATGACACCACCACAAATCACAACATTAAAAAATGCTGCATGGTATTTCTAAATGATGTAGTGTGGAGTGAAACAGCCACTCATGACCTCACAAGGAAGAGGAACAGAGAAAACACTGAAGTCAAAGAAATGTCAAAGGATAACAAAATGCTTAGACTACCATCATGAAATGTGTTCTTACATTTACATTTCCACTTTAAAGTATAAAATTAAAAGTGGAAACCATTTATTTAATCTGATCTAATTCTGCACAGTGTTATCATTTGCTTAAAAATGAAGAGATTACCTCTAAGAAAATACACCAATTTTCTTTGTAGTAAAAGAATCCTTCAGTTATCAGGGAACAGAAAAAAAAAATGTTTTAAGGTTAAAAGTCAAAAAAGTTACTTTACTAATGGGCAGGATTTTAAATAGGCCACTAACCACTAAAACAATTTATTTACTGAATCTGAATACCACCCAGTGGTGGTGCTTCAGATTTTTAAATACACAGCATTCTTGTATGCAAGCTGAACTGTTATAGTCTGGATGAGGGGACAGCTAGACAGGTAAAAACCGGCTGGATGATGAACTGGTTACACTCTACCCAAAGGACAGTAACAACCCAAGTTCCACAGGGAGCAGTACTGGGACTGTCCTCTTTAATGGTTGTATCAAAGACAAGAAAGCAGCAAGAGTACACTATCACCAGTTTGCAGTTGACACTGTATGAGCAGGACCAGGCCCTTTGCTCAAGAGCACAGGTGACATCCAGAGTGACCCACAGAGACTGGAGGAATGGGGTAATGAAAATATGATGAAATTCAACAAGGCCAAATGCAAGTGCCTGCAGCTGAAAAATGAGAAATCCCCTTAAATGACACGGGCTGCTCACAGAGCAGCTGAGGAGCTGCTGTTCCAGTTCTGTGAGGACCCTTAAGCAATTCCAACGACATGAGCATCCAGACCTTTGGATATTAAGTCTGCATATCTACTAACTTTTATTTCAACAGGACTCCTTCTATTTATGTGCAAGAATGAATTTTTAGAGGACTGCACCTTGTGTGAGAAAAAAAAGTATTTAAAATAAATTAGAGAATAGGAATGTGCCCTCTTGGCCAAACTGGTGGTGGTACTCGCAGTTACATAAAACTGAGAACACCTCACATATGCAGTGAAGGGAGCATACACTAAGCCATCAAAGTTGCTTCTACGAGTGCATTACATTGCTTTACTCTGACCGTACCTTATTCTTCTGATGGATCTTGAAGAGAAGTGAATAGAGCAAATAGAAGTTCCCAGCACTGAAGAGGAGATTGATGAACCTGAGCATTCCCACGGAGCACACCACGCTGCCCGTCCAGCCGAGCAGCCACGCCGCGGGCTTCGCGGCTCCCACCGAGAGCAGGTACAGGCCGGGCAGCGTGGTGATCATGGGGTCCCACTGCAAAGCGACACACAGCGTCACGGAGCCGCGCCACGGCCGCTCGGCTGGGCCCGCGGCCTCCCACAGCCCCTGGCACCGCTGCCCCGAGGGTCCTGACCCCTGCCCTGCCCGGCTGCTGCTCCACCCGCCACAGAACCCGCGTTCCGACAGCCGCCACAAAACCCGCGTTCCCACAGCCGCACAAAACCCGCGGTGCTGCTGCCAGGGCGAGCCCCTGCCTGACCTGCAGGAAGCGGCCGTGGCAATAGGCCTGCGCCTGCGGGATGTGGAACACCTCGTCCATGTAGGGCCCGCGCTGCCGGCGGCTGACGGCCGCGAAGAGCAGGCACGACAGCAGGAAGGCGCCGCTCATGGCGCCCGAGAAGCCGTAGGCCTCGGCCCGCTCCATGCCGGCTCCGCGCCGGCCGCGCCGGGGCCGCCCTTCCGGGGAGGGGCGGCAGGGCCGGGCGGGAAGGGACGCGGCGCCGGGAAACGGGGGATGCCTGTGGGAAGCGCTGAGCGCCTGGTGTGGGTGGCCGCGTGTTGTTAGCGCTGTTTTCCAGGGGCCCGGCAGCCGATACAGCCGATACCCGGGCGGATGGAGCGCACGCACCGGCTGGAGCTGTTCCCGGAGCGCAGCGTCACGCTGCTCCTCTTCCAGCACGTGAAGAACGCCGCTGCTCTGCGGAAAAAGGCCATGGAAGGGTCCATTGACGGGGCGCTGATAAACCCTGCCATGGTGAGTGCGTGCTCCCGGGAGCCCGGCAGGCCGGCCCGTGTGGCAGCCGCGGCCACGGGAGCCGCGCCGCGCGTCCTGCGGGCCGGGCGCGAGTGCCCTGCTGTGATTTCACTGCCGTGCCCGCGGCGCAAGGGGTCGACTCTGTGAAACAGAGGCCAAAACCACTGTTTTGATTAATTTCACATCCTGCTTCGTGGAGTTTAAATCTGCCTCATGTGTAAACTCTAGTGCTAATTAATTCATGCTGTCTAAAATCTACTATTCGGTGCCTTTTTTCCCATTTAACCCATACATAGTTTCAGGATCTAGTCTTTTTTTTTTGTTAGAATTAGGCTATCAAAATGAAGTGGTCAGGATTTTTTTCAGACTTCAAAACAGTAAGTTAATTCTGTATAACTCTTTCTGTTGTTTTACAGATTGTAGATCCTTTTCAGATTCTTGTGGCGGCCAACAAAGCAGTGCATCTACAGAAGATAGGTAAAATGAAGACCAGAACACTCTATGCAGAAATTATTTTCAGCCTTTCACCAAGCAACAATGTAAGATTTATTGAAAAAATTTCTTTTTTGCCAGAAAAGCTTGCTAAGATCCACACAGCCAAACTAAGTAAATGTATTCCTTTAACACTCTACGTAGCTACTAGTAGAAGTTTTTAATTGTTATTTTTAATAACACTAACATGCTGTTATGGTTTGTAGCTTGTCAGAATTCCATTAATGTAAAATGTCTGTCAGTTTATACTCTTGGTGTATCTGACACAGTAACTTTAAAAGTTCCTTATATGTAGTGAGAAAGTGACTCATATTTTTTTTCTCTTTTTTCAGATTTCAGATGCATTTAAAAAGTTTGGCATTTCAGACAGTGACACAGCAGTACTCATTGTGCTGGTGGTGGATGGAGACAAGAATGTAAACCTGGCAGATATAGCATCTCAGGTGGAAGGCCAGCAGGTTTCCCTAGATGAACTCCCCCAGCTAACAGACACTGCCAAAGTTAAAAAGGTGTGTAGCCAAAAGACAGGACTGACATGGAGAAAAGGGACAGTTTATTTAGTTGTCTGATTAAATATCAACAGACATAAATATCTTAGGATCTGTATTTCTTTAGCACAACTGAAAACTTGTTTTAAGCAGCCCTTAATTATTTCTTAGATTTTTTTAGTTGAAACAAATTTTAGTTCTCACATCCTAACATCACAAAATTTAAGTCTTCAAATTATTAATATTGTCAGGGAATTAGAGCATAAAAGTAAATTTCTGATTGCTGCTTATCATCCAAGAACGTTTGATTCCTGTTTTTCAGGCAAAAATTAATTTAATTAAAAAATTCAGTCCAGAGCATTTTCATAAACTTAAGTACATTGTAGTCCCAGTAGGAGTGGTTAAAAACAGGATAATTAGCTCTTAGGAGCTTTCTTGGGGCATATATGCTCTTAACAGATTACCATATGCTAAATAGATATATTAAATAGATACGTCTCCCATGTGATAAAATTCAAGTAACTTAAATCATCTTATCATGTCTGTCACAGTATTGATAGGAGACATATGAAGAAAATTGGAAAATCATAGCATTTAACATATGGAGCTAAAAGTGCTGCTCTCATTAAGTTTTGTAGTTTTCCTTATTCTTGCAGTTTCAGAATTTGCTTCAGTCCAAATTTTGTCTTGCAGTCACAAGGAATTTCCAATATAAAAGTGGGGGAGAGGGGAATAATCTTTTCTTGTGTATGTAGTTTTAGAAGGTATGTCATCGTTTTTTTTCTTCCTTATTAGGATTTTTTTTTTTCTGCAGATGTACAAAGTTACTCCACAGGAAGAAAAGATCGGCACCTTATTGGATAGTGTTGTTTGCAGAATGTCAACAAAAGATGTTTTGTGAAAAGGTGGAAATAAATTTCACAGGAAGTGAAGCAGTACTGAGTAGTGTGATGACATCTGAGCTTTAACCAGGCTTGGACACAAGGGTAACCTGAGCTGTGTTCTAAGCACAGAGGGCAGGCCAGTGTAATATTTTTTTCTTCCTTATTGGGATTTTCTTTTTTTCTGCAGATGTACAAAGTTACTCCACAGGAAGAAAAGATCGGCACCTTATTGGATAGTGTTGTTTGCAGAATGTCAACAAAAGATGTTTTGTGAAAAGGTGGAAATAAATTTCACAGGAAGTGAAGCAGTACTGAGTAGTGTGATGACATCTGAGCTTTAACCAGGCTTGGACACAAGGGTAACCTGAGCTGTGTTCTAAGCACAGAGGGCAGGCCAAGCACAATTTGCCATTGACATTTTGGTCTTTTTTCTTGACAAGGGAGAGTTGGCAGTACTTTAAGCTGAACTTAAACAAAAGGCTTGGAAATGTGTACTTACTTTTGTCTTTTTGTCAAATGTTTTGGTAGTCCCACAGAGAGTTCAAACATTGTAAATCATTTTTACTAACTGTGCCCTGATTTGTTTTAGTTTGTTTGGCAACCTAATGGATGATATCCTTTTAACAAGATTACTGCCAGAAAAGGCATCTTTACAGCCCAAGTATTTCTGATGGTCTAGAAAGAGGAAATTTTCCATAAACAATCAGCAACATCTCTCTCTTTGTGCTCCTGGGATAGAGTTGCTGCCCAGTGTTTGAGGACAGGAAGGGGCAGAGGGGTGCCATGCCAGCCAGAGGCAGTGTGGAGCAGGGGCATCAGAGATGTGTACAGTGAAGAATAAGGTCAGTGTGGATCATGCTGTGGTGGTGTATGCACCTCATAGTCTGATGTCATCCATTGCTGGCTTTAAAGGATAAGGAACTTTTACTTCATGACACTGGTTAATGCATGGTGATGCTGAACTCATAGGGCCTTGTTACAGGTGCAGAATTCGCAGACAAATTTGCATCATAGGTTGTATTCACTTAAATTGTCAATAGAGCTTACATAGTATTCTTACAGGACATAAAACTTGGTTTTTTGAACCACTGCTAGGAAAGGCCATCAAAGGGATCTAGGAGGACTATTGATTTCCAGTAGTCACCAGGTGCAACAGCTGTGAATGTGCATCATTTAATCACATGCATGCATTCTGTTTAACTACTGTCCTAATTAAGTAGAAATCCATACTGTTGGGTTTTTTTATGCTGTACTGTTTTTCTGAGATGTGCATAAAACTATAGCTGTCTGCATTTTTTTCCTGATGTTTTCTGATGTATTATGATTTGTATACTTAAAAGATCTTTGGAAGAGAATGCCTTACATTCTTACACACACATTTTGAAGGAGAGGTGGGTCTTAGAGTTGAAATGTTGTCCTGTCCAGTAAACAGACCAGCGAACTGACACATAGACCTGGTTTTGTTTGTGTTCAATACAGAAATGTACAGCTTCAGTTTTGCATTATGATTTCAGTTAAGTCTTCCCTTAATTAAAACAAAGAAGTACAAATACCATCTTACTAACCAAACCAATGGCAAATTTTAGTTACGAAGTACTAAGGGAATTACAAGGTTTATCAAAGGATTAGAGACAAACGGCTGTGCTGACGTCTTGCTTTAAGGATGGCTTTACAGAATGCATCATCCTCTCTAAAGGGAAATGTGAGGCAGTAGTGAAAAATGGAGCTTGGAAGGATTTGAGTCATTAAAAACAAAAGCGTGTCACATCAGCATGTGAGAATGACCATGGAAAATAAGAGACTTGTTTTCCTTTTCTGAAGGTACATGGAATATATCCAGTTGGTACATAGAATATATCATAAGGTTCACTGGCTGAACTACAATGTTTTTGTTAGTTTAAAATAACAGCAGAAAGGCTTACTTAAGCCACTGCCTTTTTTGAACACGTGTAAAACATCTGTCCAGTCTGTTTAGTACAGGAGAAATAGTAATAAAATGATTGCTGCATAAAAGTTTTGACACACAAGTTCCAAACTTGGGTTCCCAGTTTCTACTTCTCCACCTATTTCATTGGTGTAGAGACATTAAATAGCTTGTTACTGTTGACATAAGTTAAATTGTAATCTACCGTGAGACCCAAATTAGGTGTTTTCCTAGGTGGATTTACAGGAAATTATTTTGGTAGCTGAAGTCTCCAGTGTCATTCAGTCAGGCAGATGATTTGAGTCTCTTTGCATTGAAGACTATCCCCTGCAAGACCACAGGTTTTCACGAGATGAAGTTGCATTATCCAAGTTGAATGAGTTATTTACAAAAACTGGTAATAAAAGTAGATTTTGTTCACCCTGCAAAGATACAGTTGTTTTTCTGAACACATTAAAAATTAATTTAGATCTCTAATGTTACTGTTAAATCAACTAAGTCTGTTTTCCAGGAAAGCAAAATTTTAAGAAAAATGCTTTTCAACACATTTAATGTTCTGCAGCAGTCTTTTCTAAACTTTTATACCTCATCTCCTCTATCACAAGGTGAAAGAGGGAACTGAAGTATTTTCAATATATTATTTGGACCTCCAGTGCTTCAGAGGCATTATACCTGCAGAATTTATAAAAATAAAAATTAAATACTACATCATGATGTGTGGCCAATTGTTCTAGGGTTTTTTTTTCCCTTGCTGGGGTGCATTTGAGATTTTGTGTTTGACATCCAGCACACTGAGGTTGTTGCCTGTCCCACAACCCTGATCACCAGGGGTTTTGTGGTGCTGTCAGAATGTGTAGGTCCCTCTCCCATCTGGTGTACTTCAAACATATATTGACAAGGGAGGGCCCATCCTTTTGTGTTCACTTGTAA